TCTGGGAAAGGTGAACACCATTCCAACGGAAAAAGAAACAAACGATATCTTCCAAGGCCCGGGTGCGAATCGAACAGACACTTTCCGCCGAATCGCCTTTGGTGCTCATCATTAGACGGGGGTGCGCACCACGCGCCGCCGGGCCTTATTCTCCTCCACATGAACCAGAGCTGGTTCATCTGAATCTGTGAGGCCTCGAGGAGTTATATGCTCTTCAAAGACCATAGGATGTAATTTCGCCCACATCCGCAACTCTGTCCGGCCAGAAAACGAATAGTCGAAGGGTGAGAGCCCAAACAACGGAGTGGACTGGATATGGCCCGAGTCCGAATCGAACAGACACCTCCCGTAAACTCTGGTTAAGCTGCGTAGCATGTCAAGACATGAGCTGCGGGTGCGCGCCACGCGCCGCCGGGCCTTTATTCTCCTTCAGCCTCAAAATGAACCTGAGCTGGGTCATCTGAATCTGTGGAGTAAGACACAAGTCATACGGTCTCAGAAGGATGTTGAATAAAGTCATATCCAGACTTATTCAACGCCCGGGATATGGATGTTCAAAAAGGTGAACATCGATTCAAAGGAAGGTAAACATGTTTGTGGGAACAAGTGATGGCCCGGGTGCGAATCGAACAGACACCTCCCGCAGAATTTGCAGGAATTTCACAGTCATTACAGGCGCGCTTCCCGCGCCGCCGGGCCTTATACCTCTCAACTTGAACCAGAGCTGGCTCATGTGAATCCGTGAGTTGTCGATACTTTTCAAAGCTATGGTATGTTGAATGGCGGGCGAATGTGTCTGACCGTTCATAATTATTCAACTCCCGGGATACGGATATCTGGAAAGGCTGGCCTCGATCCAAATGATAAGGGAACGGAGCAAAAGTTGACAGCCGAAGAGAGTATGGCTCCATGGCCCGGGTCCGATTCGAACAGACCCCCTCCGCCGACCCATTTGGCGCTTGCTCATTAATCGCGGGTGCGCACCACGCGCCGCCAGGCCTCATTCCCCTCAACATGAATCAGAGCTGGGTCATCTGAATCTGTGGAGTTATACCCAAGTGATACGGTCTTAGAAGGATGTTGATTCTCAGGTGAATGAAGTCCCGCTTAGATTTATTCAAAATTTCAAATCTGGGCCAGGAAACGGATGTCTGGAAATGGTGAGCATCTGTTCAAAGGGAAAGGGAACAAAAAGGACACACCACTTTATTCATGGCCCGGGTCCGAATCGAACAGACACCTCCCGGTTCAACTGCGTAGCATGGCAAGACATGAGTTATGGGTGCGCGCCACGCGCCGCCGGGCTTTATTCTCCACAGTTCTGAACCTGAGGTCGTGCTCGTGAGTTTCTGAGACGGTGAGGACCGTGAGGGTATATGTTCCCAGTTCCCTCGTGCGTGAATGAGCATCGCAGATCCTCCATTTAGAATCGACGAAGGAGTGGGAACCAAAAAGACGACAGCTTTTGACAGCACACTATAGCCTGGGTTAGTCCTGTGGTTACCACGCCCTGTCAATAGGCGACCAGGGTTATTATATAAGCATCCCGTTTGGGACATCACGTGTTCATTGCCCTGACGCGACCAGACGCGACTTTACGCGTTCATCGAGGGTTACAGCATGAAATCTGCTACCAGAGCTCTCCACATATGTTATCTTCTTAAACTGCCCCGTTTCTCACGAGATTTTGGTCCGGAACTACTTCGTCGACTCGAAATCCGGCTTTATGGCCGGATTCAGACGTCAAAAGCTTATGAGGTGAGAGAAATTCGGAGAATGCTACAGCAGCATCCGAGAGTATTCAAAGCCCCTCACCAGCCGCAACTTCAGACTTTGGCATACAATGTCGCGTCAAACTACTCGAAGACGCGTCAAATGTGCGTGTTGTTTGGTCGTGGATCCCTGATCGTTACATAATAAGGCTGGACGCCGCTTATCAGACGCGGTAACTAACAGACTAAGTAATGAGGTTACGAGTGATAGTCTGTCTGGAGAGACTAAGCCTGGGTCCGAATCGAACAGACACTTCCCGCCGAATCACCTAGTTTTGATGCTCATCATTAAATGGGGGTGCGCACCACGCGCCGCCAGGCCTTAGCCCCGCAGTTCTGAACCTGCGCTGGTTCCGCTGACATTGTGGGATGAGGGCATACGGTGCAAAGACGCCGCTGCGGGTGCCCTCGTGGTTGAAGGAGAATCGCAGATTCTCCACTTGAAACCAACCAAGGAATGGGAACGTAAAAAACTATACGGCAACATGTACTAATGGCCCGGATCCGAATCGAACAGACAGCCTCCCGCCGCAATTGTTGATGCAGGCAACGGCAAAGCAATGCGGGTGCGCGCCACGCGCCGCCAGGCCTCATTCCCCTCAACATGTACCAGAGCTGGGTCATGTAAATCCGTGAGTTGTGGACGCTCTTCAAAGCTATAGTATGTTGAATGTGGGGCGACTGACGTCTCGCCCCCCTCTTTCAAATCAGGTCCGGGAAGCGGATGTTTAAAAAGGCGAGCATTAAGAAAATGGGAGCGTAAAAAGGTTTATGGGAACAATTGATGGCCCGGGTCCGAATCGAACGAACGCCGCCCGCCGAAGTATCTTGACAACTCTAGTGATTGAGGGTGCGCACCACGCGCCGCCGGGCCTTGCTCTCCAGAGTTCTGAACCTGCGCTCGTTACTGTCGATCGTGAATGGTGAAAGGCTGCACGGTGAAAAACTGGTCACTCAGTTCACTCGGGGTTGAATGAGCGTCGCAGTTCCTCCAACTAAAATCAACGAAGGAATGGCCACATAAAAAAGAACTTCGGGTTCAGGTATGGCCCGGGTCCGATTCGAACAGACACCCCCTGCAGAACTATTGTGCACTACGAAACACTTTTATCAATTGCGGGTGCGCGCCACGCGCCGCCGGGCCTTATTCGTCTTGCTCTGAGCCTGACTGCAGCGCGGTCGCTCACCGTATGTATAACTTCCAACCATAATCACCTAATACATCTCCCTTCGTACACTCTCCCTCCCCGCTCTGTGCTGCGCACCAGGCCGAACTCCTAAACAATGGTAAAAACATATATGGATGTAGGATGTAAGACAAAGCAGCGACTCCGAACGCAATGTACGCAACTCCTTCCCCGCCTCCCCTCTCCTCCCCTTGTCCGAAGTAAACGCGAAGCTATAAACGGGATGGGGAAGGAGCCTAAAACGTCTCCTCCTCATCGACGAGCCCGCCGTCCTCGCCCTCGGGGACCTCGAAGCCTTCCTGGATGCGAAGATGAGGTTAGTATCGTGTAATGAGGAGACAAGGGGAATGGAAGTCAGGAGAAGGGGAGGATAGATGAATCCCAGAACCACATCGGCGAATGATGTGTGTCCCGGTGCGCACTGGGATCAGCGGCGGACGGCGATCATGCGAGACGCCAAACCGACCGCAGTTCCCCACATCGTACGATGTGCGACGTGCGAGATGAGTGTCGCACGACCTGCCGAGCACGAACCGGCCACGACCGCACCGCGCGGTAGCACGAAGACGGAGGGATAATCGCGTTTGTGGGCGCGACGCGGAGCAAGCCCGTGGAACATGATGGAAGGCGATGGAAGGCTCGGCGTCGCGAGTGCCGCAGCGCGCAGAACGGAATCAGGGAGCGTAGACGCAAAGCGCACAACGGGATCGAAGGATCTCGTTCGTAGAGCAGGAGGAGGGGGAGATAAAAGAAGAGAGGCAACGGAGAAAGAACGCACCTCCGTACTATACAATATCGTCTGTATCTTCCGCAGCGTCTCGTCGTCCTTGCCGTCGCTCTCGAGCACCTCCACCTGTTGTTGGACGAGGATCTCGATCTCGCGGAGCTGGGGCGCAAAATTCCGCATGTCAGCAAAACATATTGGAAGACGAGGAAAGGGACGAGGAGGAATCCCCTCAGTCCTTATCCGTGAACGAATAAGGAAGAATTCCCCCATCCTTATCCATCCACGAACAAGGAAAGAACAAGGAAAGAGGCAAGGACGCGACACACACCTTCTCGAAATAAAAGTCCCGCTCCTTCTCCAGCCCCTCCAAATGCGCGCTCAGCTCGCGCACCTGGCCTGTCAGCGCCGCCACCTGCGCGGGGTCCGCGCCTCCGCCGGGCGTGTGCGAGCGGTGGCCCGAGACGGGGGTTCGGCCGCCGCCGGCGCGGGGGGCGGGTGCGCCAGCTGTCACATTCACATTCAGACGATGCGCAAGGGGTGGTAGGAGGGAGAGGAAGACGCACCAGTTCGCACAGGCGCCAGCGTCGCAGGCGGGTCGCCCGGCGCGCCCTTACGCCGCCCGACAGCATCGTACTCCCCACCAGCATAGTTGGCGTCCCAGAAGCGTCGGATCCATTGCAGGAACTCGAGGTTGTCCCTACCCACGCCCTCATTAACACCGCGCACAACGAGGGGAGTAGGGGAAAGAGGAAGAGGAGAAGGAGAGGGAGACGCACTGCATCTTACACTTGACGAGCTTCTCCACGGGAATGGGCTTGTCGATCTTTTTGGTCTTGAACACGTTCTGCATGATCTTGTAGTTGGCTAGGTACTCGTATTCGTGCTTTGCGTTCATCTTGATGCGCGCCATCGGGAGATCGCCTGCACCGCGCAATCTTCAAGTCAGTCTTCCGCGACGAGAAAAAAGATAGTATTGGTAAGGGACGCACCGTAGATGCTATCGAGGACCTGGAGGTATGCGCCGCCTGTGCCGCACTGCTCAATCTTTGTGTAGTTGAGCTGGAGGAGGTCGTTGAGCCATTGCAGCAGCTCCATGCGCGAGGCGCCTGCCATGATGAGGGAAGGAAGCAAGCCGCTGGTAAATACAGATACATACAGAGCACTGCCACTTCGGCTTCCGTGTTTCGGCGTTGCCGGGCCGGGTCGTTGAACTTGCGGTATTCAAATTGGGAGGTTGGGTAAGTACCATCCTCGCACTTTGTAAGTGGAGGGATACGAGGAGGAGAGAAAAAGGGACCAGGCTGCCGCAACCCATGCACCGGTGGGGAATCGAACCCCAGCTCTGACAGTCAATTGAATCCAAAGCGGGCCCGTTTTTACTTCAACGGGTGTACCATACCCTACCGATGCGCACACAGTACCGTATCGTGTCTTCGCAATTTAGCCCAATGGCTTCGATAGAAACGCTGCCGGTCATTTTTCTGCGGTCGCGATTTATACATAACACTGACACTCGTCTCGTTCCAGCTGGCATAACTATCGTGCGGTCTGAGTCCCAGTCAAAAAAACATTCTTCGAATATACATGCACCACGGGGGAACGGAACCCCGGCTTGTTGCCCCTCCCAACATGAAGGGATCGACGCACACCACATCCACCGGTGCTTCCTATCACCTGTTTGAACCCTTCGCTCGTGATAGTTTGCGAAAACACCCCGTGTGAATTTTGGTTAGTGCAGAGGCGTCAATCTTGCTGAGAAGACAAAAACGCAATTGAACATTTGATTCAATGCACCGGGAGGGAATCGAACCCCTCATCGTAAACTGCTCGCGCCGAGAAGAGTTGGATGGGTCTGTGGGTGCCACACACCACAGTGCTTTGTTGCTACTCCGAGTCTACGAGAAAGTATTCCAGGTGTTGAGTAGATGCTACAAGCAGTGAAAAAGATGGGAAGAAAGAGGATATTCGAACACTGTCTGCAATAGAATCCCAACTTCGCCGATTGAAGGGTTAGTAGAGCAACATCAGTTCGGCGGGCGTACCATACGTGACCAGTGCGCACACACTGTTTTTTTTTTTTTTTTTTTTCGCTTTGGGCAATGGCGCCAGACAAAAAACGACCCGACAGTGATTGTTCAGGTTAATTATCGTGTGCCGAGAGTCTCCAGACGAATACCCTAGCCCCTTCGCTCTGCATGCCTCATCGCACTTGCTGTGGAGCTCGAAGCGTCTCAAGTAAAAGGCGATGGAAAAACCGATACATGCACCGCGGGGAATCGAACCCCGCCTGAGTCCTTGCCTCATGAAGGGTAACATCCACCACCGGTGCTTACTACTCTCCACGTTGAACCCACCCGCCTGTGATGTTTCTCGGCTGGCCCTGTACCACTTCCCTTGCGTATTCAACGCCGATGAAACACGTATTCTGCCGGCTCTTCTGAGGACCCTATTATGATGGCACAGGAGACCGAACCGAGCACCACGAAGTTTGCCAACTCAACTGTGTCCCAAATAAAACCGCCATGAAAAAAAGCTCTTGCACTTCATCATGCACTGGCGGGGAATCGAACCTCAACTTCGCCGAGTGAAGTCTCAGTGCGGGCATATTAATTCAGCGCGTGTACCATACACAACCGGTACGCACACAGTACCCTGGGTGCCTCCCTGATCCTGTGCCAGTGCGTACTTGAATTGGAGGCTCAGACCGTCGGTGGAGATGGGGGTGCCATTCACCAACAGGGCTCTCTTAAGTTCTGCCAAAATTGTATTCCGCAGGTTCGCTGAGTCCCCAAGCAAACGCCGATGGAAAAAAGGCGATCTTGATTTGCATAATACACCGACGGGGAATCGAACCCCAGCTTTGCCGATTGTAAGTGGCTCATTGAGACGGCGTTGATTCAGCGGTTGAACCGTACACAACCGGTGCGCACACAGTGCTGGCTGGCTCGAAGTTACGTGTCATAGATCGTGCGATTGAAGCTTGAAGATGGGATGCCTGTGTGATTAGACTTTGGGCGATGCCATATATGGCGGCGAGAAATATTTCTGACAACGGTTTCCCTGCTTCTCGGCCCAATCATCCAGATAAATCGACTAGCACTCCTTCCTTCTGGATCTGGATCTCACTGGGTTTCACGAAGTTTGAGCCAAAAGTGTGAACCAGGCTGGACATGCACCACCGGGGAATCGAACCCCAGCCCAACTTACTTGCCATCTTGAAGGCGAACGGCGGGTAGAGATTTCACAACCGGTGCTTCCCCCCGGCATATCTGGACTCGTCTGCCTTCTATACGTCAGATCTCAGTGAAACCTATAATATTATTAGCCACTCGCACTCTATGATGGGGTACTAAGCTATCGGGCAGAAAGATGGAACCCCCACAATCTATTACACCAGCAGGGAACCATCGGTGTATATATACACTCCATTATCACGTCAAATCACAATGTGGATGTTCTGAACCGCGGAAATGAAAAAATGTACCATTTTCCACATTCATTCAACCGGCGGGGAATCGAACCCATGCACCGGTGAAAGCCTCGGCGACCTCCGCCGCTGCCGTGTACCTGATGATCTAGAGCCGCGAGAAGTTAGAAGTTAGAAGCTCGTTTTTCAACCAAGAGATATTCCGTTCACCATTCGCAGTCCAATTCGTTTTGGATCCTGATTCGCAGCGGGAAATAGCCAGAGAAAACACAGTGCGACATAATGGCGTTCTGGACAGACATCTGAACTGACAGCCACCATCAACGATCAACTCATCAATAATGCGCAACAGACGCCATTTTGATCCCAAACCACCACCACGAAAACTCACACTTCGTCTTTGCTTCGTCCGCGTCGCGTCGGTTGGGCTCAAATTCTGCTCTAGTCAAGACTTTTGGCCTCCTGGACGAAAAATGGCACCTGATCGCTCTACGAACTTTCGTCTTCTTCTTGTCGCTCGATCTTGAATGACCATTATCCGTGGAGCATCCATCGACATCCAATGGGTTCAAATTACTGCTACCTTTACTTCCGCATAATACTTGGCGGCTCCAGGCATACTCACATCTGTTGAATTGAACAGACAGCACACTCACGGAGATTTGTTAGTTGTATCAGCATTCGCCAAGGCTCCTGGATGTAGAAGTAAATATTATGCAACCAGTTGAGTTAATTACGGCTACTGGTAGGACCTGCTTCGGTGCTTCTACGCAGACACATCACTGATCAAAGCGAAGATGCAGTGCTCCTCGCTGGCGCACTGATCGCCGCCCTGTAAACCCGTCGCTGCACCCACAACCACGAGGAAACCGATGGACCAGAGCCGCTAAAAGCAAGCCAAGACGCAGCGCGGGCTGACCTATTCGCACTACTGGTCTCCCCCCAGTGATGGCAAGCCTGTACTATTATTCTCGCACGGATTCCCCTCGGCCTCATTCCTTTGGCGCAGACAAGTTGCGTTCTTTGAGCCTCTGGGATACGGCGTACTCGTCCCAGACAATCTGGGATACGGCGGTACGGACAAACCGACGGATCCCAAAATGTATATCGGCAGCGGCTTCGCGCAGGACATGGCTGACATCCTCGATGCGGAGGGACTGAGCAAAGTCATTGCCATCGGGCACGACTGGTGCGTTGCACTATACGTTGATGAATATCTCAACCGACTGTATTGAACCTTCTTTCCGAGCGCAGGGGTTGCCGTGTGGTATCGCGCCTGACCAATTATCACCCCCACCGCGTCTCCGCCTGTGCATTCACGGCCATAGGATACAGCGCGCCGTTTGCGGCGGGAACGGACCCCATTTCCGCGCACGCACAGATCACGAAGGCGATTGGCTACGACGCGTTCGCGTACATGCGTTTCTTCGTCCAGCCCGACGCAGTTAAGCTTATCGAGACAAACGTACGCCCAATCGCTGGATCAAACTCACAGCGCACTGATTGTTGTTTGCGCCAGATCGACTCGTTCATCAGTCTGCTTTACCCAGCAACGCCGAATTTATGGAAAGAAAATGTGTGCGTTGAAGGCGGTGCGCGCGCATGGATCGAAAGCGGTAAAACCGCTAGCCTCCCGGCGCATATGACTTCTGAGGTATCTGAATCGTCTGGAAAAACGAAGCCACAAAATGGACTCACACTCAACAGGACACTGAGCTCCTCAAAAACTCCCTCCTCAGCGGTGGCCTAGCCGCGCCGCTTTGCTGGTACAGGCAGTTCCAGGAGAAGGCTAGCAGCGACGACGAAGCCAGTACGCCCATTCCTCCCCGCTCGCATTATATTTGGTTGACCTTTCGAGACAGAAATCTCCGCCGCCGCCGCAGGAGAAATCAAGCAGCCGCTCCTCTTCGTCGCGTTCAAGGACGATCCGCTCGGAGTGCCTGCCAGAGTAGACGCCAATCACGCGAAATATGCGAAAGGGCCGGTGACACGGAGGGAGATTGAGGGAGACCATTGGGCCCTGCAGTCCCATGCGACGGAGCTGAACACGATTCTACTAGAGTGGCTTGAGGGATTGAATTTGTAGCTCGGCTTGCTCACGCTGAAAGGAGCACGTTGATGATTGGTTCAAGCGTGGTTGGCGTGTTGCCTTCCGGATAAAATCCAGTCCGTACTTCCACCCTGTACTTCCACATTGGATTTAATGGTTTGCGGACGGCGGGGGAGCTTTAATAGGGCAGGTCACCGACTCATAGTGACTTGTTACTGAGCGCGAAAACACATGCTATGCCGTTTTTACAGACCGTTCTAGTCCAAGACCAAGTATGACGAGCATTTCCCTCGCAAGAGTCTTCTTCAACCAGTCGTGATGCAGAGGATGCGTACGGACTCGAACGACTCGGTGGCGCTATAGAATTAATCATCAGCCTCTGAACTGGCGCAAGTACTCGGGCACTCACGTATAGCACGAATCGGTGAGGGGCACCGTCGCGATGACACCGCCATCGACACCGTTGCAGTTGGCTGTTGTGTGCGGATCAGTACAAACCTCCCGTAGGACTTGAATGTGCACTCACAGGTCGTGAAAATGTCGATTTGGCACTTGGAGTTCCCGGGGGTGATGTCAAGCGAGTTCGCGCCGGGTGTGGCCTGGCAGAAGGCGTTCTCGGGGACACCAGTGAACGTGGCGCTGGCCGTGCCGGTGCAGTTGGCCTCGGTGAAGGAGGAGACGACCGGGAGGGTTTTTTGCGCGAAGGCGACGCTAGCAGCAGCGAGGAGGACTGCGAGGAACTGCATGATTATGGCGGATGGATCCAATTCTTTCGTTGAGGCGCTGTTTTATACCTGTTCCGACGGGATCAAACCAAACGTTTCAGGTAAGTTTCAGGGGTTTCCGCTTGGATTCCCGAGCCATGCGCTGAGCGCTCCCGTTCTCTCATGTGAACATTGTATGACACTGTCATTAGTCAACAGTGTTTGTTCA